GTCAACATTTTGGAACCATATAGCTTCTCTTTGGTGTGGTTCTCTTGGGGATTCCTCCAGCACTGGCTGTCCCTGCCTGTTAGTTATGTCTGAAATCATCCAGCTGTACAAGCACAAGGAAGTAATGGGACATACAGAAGACAAAGCCTGTTCTCTTCAGGAGCTTAACATCAAATCGGAACAAGGTAGGTCCGTGGAAATTAAAATTCTACAAACATAGTCTGGAAGGCAGGGTGCAGTCACACACCAATGAAGAAAGGAGATTAACACAAGCAAAGGGAAGAAAATGTTGAATCCTAGAAAGGCCAAAGAAGTCCCAAGGAGGAAGTGAGGATCATTATGGGACTCTGGGGTAGGAATATCGAGTACTGGGTATCCGTGGTGGGACTGTTTAGCAGCTGTTGGTGATAAGGCTGTGGACACAAAGTGCAAATGAGAACAGACCCAAAGTGGAGAGAGGAAGCTGTGTCTAGAGGAGCCTAGGAAGAACCTCCAAAGGACCCTCACCTGGAGAGTTTCTAGCCCCCATCAGGTCCTTTGGTTCTCAGGTATAACGCCTTAGATTGTATAAAGGGACCACACTGATTCTGAGAGGGGAGGAGGGCACCCTTTCATATGGATCCTGGGGTCTCTGCAAAATGAAGTTGTCCCAGAGCTCAGATCAACTGGCAGGAAGAAAACGCCCAGTGTGCAGTGACTTCTGCTATCCATGACCCTGCTTTCCTAACTTTCAGAAGATCCAGTCCCAGAAAGGTCAGGAACCATCATCAGCTCTACCTTTGAGAATCGAAGTCCTTATCCTGGATGTCCACCAACCTGTAAACTCCCCAAGGGCATGGGAAAAAGTACCAGCTAACACAGTCGTCCTCAGCCCGGACAATCTGCTCTCCAAAAGACACTTGCCAGTGTCTGGAGACATTTTTACTTGTCACAACTGGCCAGGGATGCTGCTATACATCCTACATGCACAGAGCAGCTTCCCATAACCAAGAATTATCTGACCCACAGTAAAATTAATGCCAAGTTTGAGAAACCCATGTTAAGACCACAAAGCCTAGTGCAGCTCAAGGACTATTTAATATAGCCATCCTTATTTTATGTGGCCTGAAGATTTCCTTCAATTTCAATGTTGATATCTAAATTCTACTTTGACTTGTATGTTTGTCCTTGCTTGATCTCATTATGATTTGGTACTCACCTAGGATTTAATCTCCTTTTAAACAAATTTTACCTGTATTTCAAGGTCTACGAGACATCCCTATTTCCTCGAAGTTAGAAAAAGGTCTCCTCCTCTTCAGAAATCCTTTTTTATGATGCCTACCTTATTCACCCTTGTGATGTCACCCAGTATGTTCAGGTCCATGAAGTGTGAGAACCCGAGTGGATACAGGTTATATATAGCAGGCCTATCTCTAGACCCCTTTTTTGGCCCTCAATAAATGTTTGTTAAAGAAATGATTAGATATCAGAAGCAAACAGCCTCAATTCCACTTAACACCTCATGTTCATCACTTTTTCTAAGTTACAATTTTGTCAAGAAACTTCTGAGTGAAAGTAACAACTCAACCTTAACGGAGATGCTCAACCGGGGTAGTTCTCTACTGCAACCATTTCTCTGAGACCCTTGACCATGAATCATTGAGTTAAAACTGGTCACATGGAAATTTAGGTGTATAGATTGGAGTCCAGAGACTTTTTAAATATGACTCCATAACCTCAAAAATGCTTAAAACCTTATGATATGGATAATAGAACTAAAGTAAGCTATTGGAAATGTTATCAGAAAGAACAAAGAACTATACCAAAGAAGAAGGGGGGCTCTAGGACCTGCAGAAAAGTCTGAACTCCCTACCTTCCTCTGCAAAATGGGCCAGGAGAATGTGATGGTCCCACATCCACACCTCAGTTCAGCCTGGCTGAGTCTGCTCAGTGGACATGTTAGCCATATTTTCTGATGCTCTGATCTGGGGGGCTTTACTGATTCTGGAGCGACTTCCCTTCCAGGGAAGGGATTGGTGGAATAACCAATTTCTAGAGATGGAATAAAAGCCCACCAAAACCACATTTTTCAAATATAGATCAGCAGATTTAGAACCCACACCATACCACCACCTTCTCTCCTGGTGGCTCACACTCTGGGCCATTATCCACCAGTATCTTATTCACTTTAGGGCCAGCTGCCACACAACTACATATAGCCCCTATGCCTCAGGTCCTGCCAATGTTAGTCAAGCTAGGCAAACCTAGGCCTGGTTGTGTTGCCTCATCTGTTTGCTGTGGAAACACAATGAAGGCTCTGCTCCACGTTTTCTTCCTACTTGCTCTGGCTGTGGACCAACTCCTATGCACACCCCTTGGGTTGACAACTGTGAGTAACAAACTGTCTTTGTAGTGGTCATGTCTCCTGGTCTGTGGGCCTTTATTCTATATTTTATTTTCCATCAATACACTGTATTTTAAAACAGCAGGGATAAGGAGGAGCCAGGTGCAGACATTAAGACGATTGAATCTTGATGTTCAGATAGGAGCAGGAGATTGGGGCTTGTGTCCTTTGCGGAACCCTGTACCTCCACTACATCCATGCCTCTGATGGTGGTGCATGTCAGGTTGTGGTTAGGGCCCAGGTTGAGAGATCACATGTGCATAGTAGGAGAAGTAATTAGGACAATTTGGAGGTACTGTGTGTAGGAGGCCAACCAAAACCACCAACTGAGCATGGGAAAGAAAGGCAGTGCCACCCCTTAGACTGAGGGAGAGGGATGCTGCGGTTCCTGGCTCTTGCCTATGCCCCCAGATTTAGGGAGGAGGGACAGACTCAGGTTCCAGAGGAGGAGGGTGAGTTCTTTTCTTTGAGCAGTTTCACTGACCTCTATTCCCCTTTCTTTTGTTCTTTATGTATCTGTTCCTAAATACTACCCACATTCTTTCCTTTACTTTATATTTCTATGACACTGCAGTTTTCTCATCCCTACAGTCTTTCCCCTTCCCTCCCCTAACCTATGGACAGGTAAACTATAGCATCGGGTTGAGCCTCATGATACTACTAGGGCTCTGGGATGTTGCCCCACTCAGGTTTGCTGAGAATCATATATGTGTATGTCCTCATTGTCCATGAAGCCTAGCTCAGCTTGTGGTTGAGAAGCTATATGGAAGCTAAACCCTCATTCTCTCCTGCTTTCACTCCACTTGACTCTCATTATGGGATCCTTTTGCACCTACTCTTTATAGGGAGCATGTGGTCCCTGAGGGCCAGTACTATCCTCTGCTTGATCCTTTGAGTCCTGCCTCTGGGATTTCCACAGCTCCTGGCTCCACAGCTAATCTTTTGGTACTGTCTCCCAGTCCAGGGGACTCTGCCCACCACCCCTTTCTCCAGAGGAAAAGCTCAACACTTGAGTCCCGATCCTAACTTAGGACTGTCCTGCTCAAACACTGGCTTTCTTTGATTTATCTCCACAGACCCTCTGGGCAAATTCATTGCTTATTCACGTGTATTTCCATAGGTTTGATGCTGGCTCTCATTCTCTCTCACAAGGACTATTCCCCAAACCTCCATACTGATCATCAGCCTCTCTCCCCACTTCCTCTGCCCCTGAAAGTGCCTGGGGATGGCTATGGGAATGATAAGCTGTTTTCACTCAAATCACATGCAATAATATTAAATCATCCCCTGCCCTGTCCTCAGTGTTTCCAGTCTTACTTAGTCCTCATGGCAACCCATATTACAGCTGAGGAGAAGAAGCCATGGGGTCATATGATGGACACTCAGGCCCTTGTCCCTGCTCTGGTGTTCCTTCTGCTAGATCCCCATGCTACCTCAGCACACAGCACCCACTATCTCCACTATATCCATCTACACTGAACTACTAGTGTCACTATTCAAGATCACATTCAATAATGATATCATCAGGACATTCTGGAAGTAATCAACTTTCTCCACTTGTACAAGACCACCAAAGTGACTGTTTTCTCCTTGCAGAATTGGGGACGACATCGGAGGGAAGCATCAATCTCTTGACAGTTGCAGTAGCTCTCACACAAGGTCCTCAAGATCTATGGGAGCCTAGTGAATTTTCATGGAAAGTAAGGAATGCAGGGGAGTTTGGAGGGATTCCTCTTATCTATGTGAATGCCTCCATGTTAGAAGAAATGGGGACAACATGGATGATTCCAAATATAGATGCCCTGGAATCATCCCTTACTTTTTATTTCAATATTATGGAAACATAAGTAGTCATATATTTATTTATGATAGGCTTATTTGTTGTAGGAAAATAAAAAAAAAAATTAGAAGCCATTTTAAAAGCTATCTTGTTCGGTATTTCAGTGAATAACTCCATGTGAGTTCTTGCTTTATATAGTTATAGTTCATACCCACTAATAATTCATCCTCAACCTACAGATCACATTATCAGACTCAAAACTCAGAAGTGGACAGAGACTGTCCAGCCTGTAGATAAGCATTGGGAATTATCCTCTTCCCGTGATCTAATCCTGCTGGCTACTGCAGCCAACTTTACCATGCCTAATGGAAAGCAAGAAGCTAGAGTCAAATATAAATCACCCAACAATCAGGAGTGGACTATAAAACTTTATGTAGACATTCATAAAGGTTAGACAGTGTGAAGTATTATTTTTCTTTTGATAATACTTATTAAAGTGAGCGGACAATAGTTTCTAACAGATTCATCTGGCAAGCATTTGACACTAAACAGCAAGCATCAGTGAGGTTTACTGTCCCAGTAGTGACCAACACCAAGCCACTAGAAGCGTGCTGTTTACTTCCTAATACATCACCTCTATCCAAGCACTTGCTATTTTCTCCATAAAATAAAAATATTTAAATTACAGCTATTTACCAGATCTCTACTTAAGAGTTCTAACATTAAAAACATTGACTGAATGAACATGAAAAGAGAGATTTATCAACATAAATGACCAAATTACTCTCTATGAAAAATTAAGGTTAAACAACAAACTGAAGGAAATTAGAAAATCGTTCAGACAACTCTGGGGGGAAAAAAAAAAGAAAGATACAAGGACATAAAAATGGTCATAGAAATTGATAACAAAATCATTAAACTCCCAAAAAGTAAATGGAAAAAAAAAAGACATGAAGAGATAATTAACCAGGAAGAAATCTAAGGGATTCATGAGCACAGGGAAAAAAAAAAATCTTTAGTCTTTTATTATCCGAAATGAAAGTAAAACACAGCAACTGTCTTTTACCCTCTCACACTGACAGAACTCTTTCTTAAAGTATAGTGTTTGGTAAATCAGGACTCTGATTTACTGTTGCTGAAAACTGTATTATTGGCACAACTTCTGGATAAGGCACTTCATACACCAGGAGGCCATTTCTTGTCCTGTCTTGATCTGGGCCTGCCAGCCATAGTCTTTCCCTACCAATGCCACCACAATCAGGGTATGGTCCTTCTCAAGAAGGAAGCAAACTATCTTACGGAAAGAATCTGGGAATTGACATCCCTTTGACTTACTAATCGTGTTTTTTAAACATACCCTTTAATGTCCCAATGCCTTCACCTCTTCCTGTATGTCATGAGGTAATTAATTGGATCAAGCTATCTCTAAAGCATCTCCAGTTATTACACTGCATCATGCTGTTGATTGATAGGAATCAAATAAACAACAGAGAAGCTCCACATACCTATTCCTAATGTGCTGAGGGGAGCCGAGACACTGGAAGCAACCGTTAACCATTATGGCCAGTCTGGTGCAAAGAGCTTCACACTCTTCCATGCTGGGAAAAAAAGAAAAAGAAAAGTAAAGGTGAGCCACACTTGGAAGAAAAAAGGCTTGATTCAAACTTTAAAAGTAAAAAGTGGACAAAAACACTATTACTGCAAATTATGTAATTCTTAAAATATAGACACCTCATGAAAACCAAACAAAATACTTTTAAGTATCATAAGATTTATTTAGGTAGCCAATAATATAATTTTAAAAAAATTACTAGCATTTTCATGTACCACGAAAAATAGTAATAAAATAGGAAAGAACCATTTACCAATAGTACAAAATTACAAAATAAAAACAATCTTAAGAAAAAAGATGTTTTATGAAGAGAAAAAATAAAGCTTTACTAACAGACATAAATAAAACCTTGACTCAATGAAAAAGAATGGCTATTTTAAAAATGAAGGAACCTTACAATATAAAAATCAGTAAAATGTAAAACAATACTAGCATAATATTAGTGTAAATATAAAATATAATACTAATATAGTATGAAAGTAAGCTCATTATATTTAAATATAAATATAAGTGTATAACAAAATATAATGCTGTAATAATATTTAATATACAATTATGTTAGGTTACAGTAAAATTGAATATTATTTTATCATGAATAAGTTATGTAATTATAAAATATAATTTTAAATCTTCATAAGTTACAAGCTGTGATATGGATGCATTATAATGTCAATCAAAATTTTATCTCTCTCCTTAGAAAAATTGAAAATAATTATAAAGTGTTTCTCCAAAATAAAAATATTGAAAGAATTATGAGGAAAAGTGTTCCAGAAAACATTAATATTTGTTACACTGCTAAAATAAATTGAATAAGGTAATAAACTCAAAAATTATAAGGCCAATGGCATTAAAACAAAAGAGAGCCAAAATGAGCCACTAAAGCATGAAATGCACACATGATTTGAGGATGGGAGCATCTGTGTGAGCACTACAGCAATGGTGGAAACTGAGGGGGCCTTTGATGTATGTGGCAATGCAAAATCCCAAACTTCTAATAAGATGTCAGAAGACAGCAAACTGTCTTAAGAACAGAAACAAACAGGAGCTGGGGTGCAGCTTAGTGGTAGAAGATTTGCTAGCATGCATGAAGTCCAGGTTTCAAGCACTACCAAAAAAAAAAAAATTAAAAGAAAAATTGCCACAAACATAACAGGTAAGGGTTGATAGCCTTAAAATAAAAAGTCATGTTAGTTTAAAAAAAAATCCAATGTATAAAAAAAAAAATATCATGTGGAAATGATTTTCACAACTATTCATGGCCAATAATGTAGCAACAAATCATAAACTTAACCATTAAATCAAATGTTCTTAAAATTGTTTTCTAGCTAGAAAGGCATTCATCATGCATGCTTTTCTATGTTTAAGGATGAAAGTGTTTTTGTTCTCCATTGCATTTCAAATAAAAACAATGAGTTCTCAGATTAGCAAAATCCTAGTTAAAGATATTCTCAGTAATTCTAAATAGGTCACCTCATATGCTGAGGTTGGAAGTAAAAATAGGCATAACTTTTTGAAAATCCATATGGAAATAAATCCTTTTCTATGAACTTGCCCCAGGAAACACAAAATATGAACATATGGCAATTTATTTATAGTAAAAATCTAGAAAAAAAATACATGCTCTGTAGTGAGATTTGTTATTTATTTCATGTAAATGAAAGATCATTCCGTGTGTTAGACATTAAAATGAAGTTCTCTAAAGTCAATGAATTTCATGAGTAAAGATTGATACTTTAATGGCAAAATTACAATGCATATGAGGAGAATTGCACATGTATGTGAGTTTTTTTCTAGAAAGAAAAAAATTGTAATATCCATACAAAAAAGTATGGATATTACTGAGAAGCGAAAAGTTAATGGTAGATCATCTTTATTTCTTCTTTCTTTCCAATTTGGTATTATCCAAATTCTCTACAGGAAGCATGTGTTATTTCCATTGTTAGGCAGCAATTATAAAGCAATCTCTGATAGGATCCATGGATGTTCAGATCAAGACTATTTCATAGTTCTTACAGTTACATGTGGGCACACAGAAAATTCAGGTCAACAGAATGTGTATTTCTGGGTCATCTTGAAACAACACAAGCCACTTGACCTGGGTAGTCTTTTTCCACATCCCTTAAGTTGGGATGCAGACACAGTGCTGTGAGTCAATGTCAACCATGAGGACAAGGACAACTGGAAGATGGCTAAATGGCATGGCAGAAAGGTCATGATTTCTTGGTTGGCCTTATAAAGCACAGCTCACCAGCAACTTAACAAAGTAAGGGGGAAATGTGTCTTGCCTGGGCCACTATAATTTGAAGTTTCTTTGTTATACTTGACATAAAATCTAAGGAATATGTACTATAAACATTCCAAATATGCTTTACAAATTTTTTTTTCTGGTCAATTATAGCTTTCTCTGTTTCTTTAATGAATTTTAATTTAAAACATTTTATCATTTTTATGACTATGTTGCAGGTTGACTATGAAGTCACTTTTGTATTACTTCCTTAAACATAATTTGGAGATGTAGGAGTCCAAATAATACCAAATATGAATTAAATTCTCGTAATAGGACTTGGGTCATAGCTTAGTGGTACAGCGCTTGCCTGGCATGTGTGAGGAACCGGGCTCCATCCTCAGCACTATATAAAAATAAATAAATAAAGGTATTGTGTCCATCTACAACTAAAAATATTTAAAAAGTAAATCCTCATGATATTAAATGACTAACAGTTTCAACTGAGTTATTATTGACTAACAAATATCCTCTAAACATGTTGGATATCATAACATCTAAGCATAGAGGACAAAGATAGAGATTTTGATGATCTTCTACAGTAAGAAGAATACACAAAACTGTTCAACAATGAAAGCAATCATTGGTCATTTACTCAAAAACAAACAAACAAAAATAACCCATCAAATTGTTTTCCTTAATGATTCGTTAGGTTGATTAGTACTGAAATATGTCTAGGTGATGCAAAGACTTGTGTCCTTCATTTATCAGTGTTTGACATGTGAGGAAAAACCAAAGTGGTTGTTCCTGTTTGGACTGATTTCCATTCCTTTTAGTAAGTGACATGGCTCCCAGTTTCTTTCCCTCAGTTTCTTATCCCATGCTTCCCAAGAGGCTCAGGAGTAAGGAACAAGAGGCACTAAGAGGTGAACTCAAAGTTAAGAGGAAAGCTTTCCCACGAGATACTTCTTTTCAACTAAAGCTGTCATTTTAGAATCACAGAATCAATCATAGGCTTCTCTATTCTTCACTTTCAGTGAGTAATTTAGATCTTTGTATTGTATGAATAGCAACAAATTTATAGAAATAAATTTGTGTATATGCATATGTATGTCATTAATGTGAAACCAAGTGAATAGGAGGAGGATATAAAAGAGAAACAACAGTAATACATACCTGTTTTGAGAACAGTCTACAATAATTATGTGTTATATAAGAAATAAAAATAATTTTATCTTTTTATTAGAAAGTTAAAATTCTTAGAACCTGTGCTTGAACATCAAGACTCAGCTTCATGCCAGCAAACGAAGATAGCAAAGCGGAGCTCAGAATTAGCAGAGCAAATGGTCATTTTAAGCAAGAAAATTTACATATTTTTTTAAAAAAGTAGATTTATCAAGTTTAATTCATTTTAATATAAATTTTTTTCTGAAGAGAAATAGAACAAAAACAAAACAAAACAAAAAAAGAAGTAGCAATTCTGACTGTGCACAAGTGAAGAAACTGTCAAATCCATTCCATGAAAAGCAACTATAATACTAGACAAAATTTCAAAACAACCCTTTCAGAACACTGGGAATTGACTGAAGGCAAGCAGCAATATGAGAAGCAGTTATGTCCAACAAATTGCTAAACTCAGAATAAGAAGAATTTGTGGCAGGCAAACCATGGGCTACTGAGTTCCCTCCCCAGCTTAAACATGAAGCAGGAAAGGGTGGGCCATGAGTATCAGCAGCTTCTGCCATGGCTGAAGGGCAGGGACTCAGTTTGGAGTATTGAGTGCAACACCCATGCCCAGTAACATAGCTGGTTTATATGACTATATTGGATCCAAGCATTCAGGAATGGCCAGCACCTCTAGTACCTGGGAGATGGCCTCCCAGGTACTAGAATTTTTGTGTCTGTGACATGCTTACAACCAATTGAGACCCTAGTGTGTGCAGTAGACACTGGAGATGGCCCTGGCTTTCCACATACTGCCTCTCAACCCAGAGGCTATTGCATACATATAGGAGAGGCACAGAAGGACCCAAGGAAACTGACATGTTCAAGTTGGCACAAACTTATAATTTTCCTGGCTATCAACACAGAGAACGTTTGGCAGAGGACAGAACGTCTGTATTGTGTCAACCTGAGGTGGGTGAGAACTACCTCTGGTCAGTCACAGGATATCAAGGAACCTAGGCAAAAACAGAGGTGACTGTTATACAGCCAGTCTTGAAAAATTAAAAGTAATTTTAAACACGAAATCTGAGCAGAGAAATCAGCTGCTACTCACTGCAGGAGTAAGATTTTTTTCATAGACTTATCCCAGGCAAAGAAATCCAACAAATAAGTATTTAAAAAATGAAAGCTGACAATAGAGCAACTTTGGGATTAGTTAAGAAAGTCAGAGCAGCTACATTATCTAAAATGTCTAGTTTTCAATAAAAATGTAGGCACGCAAAGGAACAGGAAGTGATCCATATTCAGGGGTGTAAAACAAAAGCAGTCAATATAAATTTCTTGAACTCTTCCTCAACGTTAGAGTTAGGAGGAAAATTATCCAATGCAGAGAAAATATATATGTTCAAAGAACTAAAGGAAATGCTATTTAAAGAATTAAAGGACATATGACAATAAATGCAAGCAAATAGAGATTCTAAAGAAAATGAAAGTTATCAAAAGAATCAAAAAGAAACCTTTCAGGTGAAAAGTTCAGTAAATACAATGAAAACTTTGCTAAAGAGAATAACATCAGATTCAAGATGGCGGAAGACTCT